TCTCCTCACTTTTACTCATAGGAGTATCTGCAGACCTTTTTGACATTTTTAACAATATCTTTACACCACAAAGCAGAGAATAAGCAAAAAAAACTCTGTGAGTAATGCACATAGGTCTTGGCCCAATGTGGGGCATCATAGGGAAACTGCCGTTGGCACGTGAGCCTGCACGCTTGCCATTCTATTACTCGTCATGGGTATATTGCAGGGGAAATCTGGGTGTGTTCAGAAAAGGTATATTGAAGCTGAGGGGGGTTGAGAGGGTCTTTTTTCCCTTGGGGCTGCTGAACAACTATGTTGCGTACCTGCATTTTGACTGTGACCCATCACATCAAGCCAGATGTGGAATTTTCTATTTGTGTCATCATGTCGGTGCTCAAAATGTTTTGGATTTTGGAGCATTCTGGATTTCAGATCTTTGGACTGGGGATGCTCAACATGTACTATGTTTTTTCCTATACATACATACTATGACAAAGTTTAATTCATAAATAGGCACAGTAAGAGATTAACAATAATAATAATAAAATAGAATATTGTAACAATATATTGTATGAATGTAGTCTCTCTCAAAATATCTTAATATTTTTGGACCACAGGTAACTGAAACTAGAATGTAGATAAGAGGAGACTGTATAAGTATTTAAAGCTATAAGTTTTACTCTAAGCACAACTTAAGTACTTTCCACAGATTTTGATATATCTTTTCATTTGTAGTTAACACAAAATGTTTTCTAATTTCCTTTATGATTTTTTTTCTTTGACCTATGTGTTGTTTAGAAGGCTGTTGTTTACTTTCCAAATATTTGCAGATTTTCCAGATACTTTTCAGTTATAGGTTTCTAACTTAATTTCATTGCGGTCAGAAAGCATACTCTATGTGGTTTCATCCTTTAAATTTTATTGAGATATGTGCCAAAGGTGCAGAAAAAGAATGTGAATTTTGCTGTTGGTGGTGGAATAGTCATAAATGTCAGTTAGGTCAGGTTTTGTTTGGTTGTCCAGTACAAGTCTTTCATAATCGTGCTCATTTTCTCACTACTTGTTATATCAATTAGTAAGAAAGGAGTGTTGAAATCTCCAGCTATAAGTGGTAATTTGTGTATTTTTCCTTTTAGGTTCGTCAGTTTTTGCCTTGTATATTTTAGCGCTTTGTAATTAGGCATATCTACATTTATAGCGTGTTGACTCTTATCATTCAGATGTATCCCTCTTTGTAGTAAAAGTGCTTATCTTGAAGTCTATTTTGTCTAATATTAAAATAGTCATTCTAGATTCATTTTATTTACTGTTTGAATGGCATATCTTTTTCTATCCTTTTATTTTCAATCCCCTTGTGTTTTATGAAAGGTGGATATCTTGTAAATAGCGTGCTGTTGGGGGTTGCTTTTTTATCAAGTTTCACAATCTCAGCCTTTGACTGGAGCATTTATTCCATTTATACTTAATGTATTTGTTGATAAGAATATGTTCTGCCATTTTGCTATTTGTTTTCTATTTGTCTCAAACATTACTGTTTCCCTGTTTGTTCTTTCCTACTTTTTTTGTGCTAAGAAAATAAGTTTAGTATATCATTTTAACTATTTTGTTGGCTTTTTAGTTATATTCCTTTGCATTTGGTTGTTCTAAGGTTTATAATATGCATCTTTAACCTATAACAATCTACTTAAAGCTAAGTAGTATAAAGTAATATGAATTACTTCAGGTAAAATATAAGAACCTTAAAATAATATAGTTCTATTTGCCTACTCTCCTTTTCTGCTATTGTTGTCATATATATTACAGCTATTATTGTAAACCCAGCAGTGTTGTGGTTCTTGCTTTTAATATTTGTATGTCACTTAAAGAACATAAGAGAACAAAAGAAAAAGATATACATTTAATCTTTTATATTAACCCACATATTTACCATTTTTCCTGTATATCTGAGTTACCATCTACTGTCATTTTCTTTCATTATGTAGGACTTCCTTCTTTATTTCCCATAGTGGTCTACTAGCAGTGAATTGTCTCATTTTTATTTATCTGAAAAAGTCTTTATTTTACTTTTGTTTTTGAAATATAGTTTTGCTCAATTTGGAATTTTTGGTTAATAATTATTTTTTCTTTCAGCACTTTGAATGTGTCATTCCAAAGTTTTCTGGCCCCCATTATTTCTGATAAGAAGTCAGCCTCAGGCCAGGCATGGTGGCACATGCCTGTAATCCCAGCACTTTGGGAGGCCAAGGCAGGGGGATTGTTTGAGGTCAGGAGTTCAAGACCAGCCTGAGCAAGAGCAAGCCTCCATCTCTACAAAAAATAGAAAAATTAGCCAAGCCTGGTGGTCTGCCCCTGTAGTTCCAGCTATTCGGGAAGCTTGAGGCATAAGGATTGCTTGAGCCTACGAGTGTGAGGTTGCAGTGAGCTGTGACGAGGCCACTGTACTCTAGCCTGGACAACAGAACAAGACCTTGTCTACAAAAAAAAAAAACAAAAAACAAAAAAGGAAATTAGCCTCAATCATGTCATTGTCCCCTGTATGTAATATATCCTTTTTATCTTGCTGCTTTAGAGATTTTCTTTTTATCTTTGTCTTCCAGAAGCTTGACTGTGTTGTGCCTAGATGTGGTTTTCTTTTTGTTTATCACACTTGGGATTTGTTGAGCTTCTTGGATGTGTAAATTGATTTTTTTCACAAAATTTGGGGAACTTACAGTCATTTCTTTAAATGTTTTTTCTCTCACTCGCCTTCTGGAACTCCAGTTACACATATGTTAAACCTTTTGATACTGTCAAAGAGGTCTTGATATTTTGGGTTTTTTTAATCTTCTCTTTGTTCTTTGGATTGGATAATTTCTGATGCCCTGTCTTCACATTCACTGATTCTTTCTTCCCTTTCAGATTTTCTCTTGAGCCTATATAGTAAATTTTGTTCATTTTAATCATTGTGCTTTTCAGCTCTAGAATTTCCATTTGGTTCTTGTATAGTTTCCATTTCTCTGTTGAGATTCCCTATGTGTTCACTCAATCATACCATTTTTCCTTTAAACATATTTATTATGTTTGCTTGGAAGTCATTGTCTGCTAAACCCAACGTGCAGGCCCACTCAGGATCCCTTTCTGCTGACTCCTTTTCTGAGTAGGTCACACTTTTCAGTTTCTTAATCTTGTAACTTTTAGTTGAAAACTGGACATTGTAGGTTATCCTTGTGCAACTCTGAAATCTTTCTGTGTCCTGAGGGTGGTTAGATTTTTTTGTTCTAGTAGGTAGTTAACTCTCCTGGATCAAAACTGCAAAATCTGTCCTTTCTGTGATGTGCAGTGGGTGATGTTTCCGCACAGGTGTTTCTGACTACTAACTGCTGTTGCTTTAGCCTGCCCTCAGGAGTCACACTTGCCTGTGTAGTGTAGGGGTCAGCCAAGGATTTGGACAGAATTTACATTTAGATATTGGGGCTTACCTATTTAGTGATTCCCTTGCTCTACAGGTTTCCCCTAGATGTCTGGGTGTTTTTCCAGTCCCAAGTCTGTTCTCTGACACCGTAAGCCAGTAAAGCTTGTGCTATCTAAAGCTCGAGCAATGTGCACTTTGGGGGAAGACTTCAATCAAAAGCCTAAGAAAGTCCCAAATCTCACCAGTAATAATTTTGTCTTACAAGGGTAGATATCCCACCCTTGTTTCTGCCTACCTTTTAGCTGGGCTTCCTAGGGTGTCCCATATACCTGCATAGTTTAACATACAACTGGGAATATGGGCAGAGTTTATACTCACATTTTAGATTTCAGGTCTTCTGTGGTTTTCTTACTTCCACAATTTCCCCTTTGTATTTCCAGCTTCTCTATTGCTTTGAACTCTGTCATCTCTCCCTGGGGTGCATAAGGCTGCGATTCTCCTCCCTGAGCCAGGGAGGTTAGAAAGTGCCTTCAGATAAGAAAGCCACAAACTCATAATTCTTACCTCATGCATCTTTCACTTACAAACACTCAACTTGCCACCTACCTTTGATTATTTGCCAGTACCATCAGATGGTTGTTTATAATATTATTGGTCTATTTTTATAATTGTTTTCTTTGGAAGGAATTGTCCAGCCCCTTCACATTGCCATTATCAGACATCCTGCTCTATCATGTCTTTTAGCAATTTTATAACACTTGGTAATCTCCCAGTTTAACAAAGAGACACGTGTTGGGGGGTTAGGGCATGCCAGCAGGCAAATAAATCTCTCTAGATTACTATGCTGTGTTTTTATTATAGTATCTTCAAGGTTATAGTCTACGTAGCATGTTTTACAGGTTTTCCATTTATGGTAGTGATATAAAGTTTCCCTCTTAAATGATATTGCAAAAATTGTGAAGTCGCTATGCAAATAATTGGTGCTTAGGAAAGTTATGTAGGATATTATTCTGACCCTCATATGTTGTTTTTAGAGAAATACCTCTTTCTCCTCCTTTTCTGCCCCTCTCCTTTCTCCACGACACTGTCAACCAAAATAGATTAAGAATATTGACTCCAAGAATGCCCTAGTCCAGAATATAATTTGTCCCAAATTTACTTTTTTCCAAGATCATTGCCATCCTACCTCCTACCCGAGCAAAGGACATTTTATAGGTTTTTTGTGAATTTTTTCTCTCTCCCATTCTCAAATTGTGTTTTTCCAAGTTATAGTTATTTTTAAATGAAAATTTTGGAATCAGATTACTCCACTGTAGAAATAAAGTCAGAGAAATAAATATGTAGTTTTTCTCATCATTTTTCTATATTTCATTTCATTGAGACTTTGAATTCATTGCCCTCACTTTTCCACCAAAGGTTTTCACCAAGTAGAAAGAAGTAGTTGAAATGAACCTCTGTAAAGCAATTTCAGCTTTATTTCACCATATATTTGCTTTTTATCCCAAAGTAATTTGCTATTTTTTTAAAACAATGTTTTTTTAAAAATTGGTTTTGTTGTCTAGAAGTAGCAAGTATATTGGAGAGGGATATGGTACTTAAGCTTTTAACGTTGACCTTACATTATCAGGGAAAAAGGAGAAGCCAAAGAAATTCACTAAACAGCCAAAAAAGCAGATGTCTTCGCCCTGTACTCAGAAGAAAGAAAAGGCATTGGAGAAGGTAACTCTAAATTATCTATTATTACTCTAAAGTTCATATGGAAAAATAAGGAAGTGAGTATAGACAGGAGAATCCAAAAGAAAAGAGTAATGGATACACAGTGGAATGCCAGCAGTGTAAAAATAAATGAAGACGTTCTTTACGGACTGAGATTAAAGATCTCTAAGATATATTGATAAATGAAAAGAGGAAGGTGCAGAACAGTAGATAGTGGCATGATACAGTACCCTTTGTGTAAAATAAATGGGGGAAAATATATATATGAGCTTCCTTGTATGTATATAAATTATCTCTGGAAGGCTACATAAGAAATTGGTAAGATTGGTTGCCTCTAAAGAAGGGAACTGAATGTGTGGGAGACAGAGATGAGATGCTTTTTATTATATGTGCTACTTATATCTTTTGAATTTTGAACCAGTATTATTCAAAAAATAAGTAGACTTTTAAATTAAATTATATTTTATGACCTTTTAAAATAATTCTTATTTCCGTATGCCTTTGAAAGAAGGGGTAAAAAGCCAGGTAGCAATAAAAAGATAATAATAACCACAATTGGCTAGAAAAAGAAACCATGAATTTCAAAAATGCATGGAAGGTTGGGACTGAGATAAGATCCACACAGTTAAATTGACAGGTTGTACATTCATCTTCGTGTTAAGTACCACAGGGTTCATTCTAAAAGATTGCATAAGCTGGGACTCCAAGGTGGGCAAATAAAACTGAGTTCAAATTCTAGGTCTGTACCTCTTCAGAGAAGTTCCTTAACTTCTCTAAACCTGTTTTATTAATATTATGGAGATAATAATAGTGCCTGTCTTACATGGTGGTTGCAAGGTTTAAATGAAATAGCACTTGTGATGCTCTTGGTACAGTGTCTTGCACTCAATATGTGTGAACTCTTTTTGTTATTAACTATGACACTAATCAGTAAATTTGTTCTAACTGGGCCTCAATGTTGTCTACTCTTTTTTAGTCAGCTTCTAGAGATGTGTCTCCTTTCGTGTGAGTATTGCGTCTTAATCCAATTGGGATGTCCACTCATAAAGCAGCATCAATGCTGATTTTTTTCAATTTTTTCAATAGTGTGAGTATGCAGAAGAATAAGTGGGATGCCACAAGATCCTTGAGATTCAACCAGGATGCACAAAGAGAAGATGGTAAATTTTATTATTGGGGTAATATACACATTGGATATAAACAACAGCGATTGGAGTATCTTTCATTTTATGAAGTATGCTGAATAGTTTTAAAGGTTCCAGCTAAAATAAGGCCCCAAATTTGCACATTCCCTTAGGCAATAACCAGAGTTTCACTACTAAACAATCCCAGTGAACCACGTTTTATGCATCTGTGGTTTTGAGATCTCTCAGATAGACTTTTGCCTGTCATTTTCACTATAAAGGTATGTTTTAGGAAGTTTTACAGTGATCTAAAAAGCAGAACAATTATCCATGTGTGAGTCATTTTGCTACTTGCTACCTTAAATTCTTCACAGATATATAGATGTATGTGTCTGTAAAATATTATCATACCCTTGGTGATTACAGACTTTTTTAAGGAAAAAAAGTTATAAATCATCCTCATGAAAAGTGAAGTTTATTATTTTTTACCTTCAGATCAGCGGCGGATGTCTGAAATTACAGGGCACCTAATAAAAATGAGATTGGGTGATCTGGACCGAGTCAAATCAAAGGAAGCAAAAGAAGTAAGAATTTCATACTATTAATAGTGTACTGTACTTGCATAAGACATGCCTTCCTACTTTTATTTTCAGCAAGGAGTATAAAGATATTTTAGGCAGAATTTTAAAAGATTAATTTAGATATTTTTATATTCTATACCAGTTAGCCAGTTCATTCACGTAAGTTTTCCACCACCTCTTATTATCGATGG